TTCCCCTGGGATAGGCAGAAAATACACTATAGATTTCAAGATAGAACCTCATCATTTTAAAGTTGATCCAACAGGGATCAACTAGAGTGGGGAGGGAGGAAGGAAGGAAAAAGAATTCTCAGGATAGCACACCAGTTGGGATTACATCTGTAGCTAAGAGCAGGATGATTTTCCAAGGACGGGGTTGTGTGGTAAAGTGAGAAAGAAACCACACAACCCCTTCATTCCTTCTTTCCTTCCTTCCCCCATCCCTTCCCTTCCTTTTCCCTTTCTTGCTGTCTCCCTCTCTCTCTCTCCCTCTCTCTCTCTGTTTCTCTCCCTCCCTTCCTCCCCACTCCTCTATCTATCTATCTATCTATCTATCTATCTATCTATCTATCTATCTATCTATCTCTTAGGTACCTGGTCTTTGTGCACTGGGTCCCTGCAAAGGGGCCTAAACATGTGTACCACCCCTAGAGGCAGGAGGGCTGGCCTGGGCTCTTTCCTTTCCAGGCAGAAGTGCACGGGAGGTGAAGCATGTGACCCAGAGTGAGTCTCAGGGAGGCTGAGCTCCCCGCCTGCGGGCCAGGCCCTCTGCCACACATCTGCCTCAGCCCAGGAGCATGAGAGTAGGCAGGACTTTCCACAGAACTCAGCCTGCCGGGCCTCTAGGAACAGCAAGCTCTGCCGAGGGAAGCCACAAGTCACAAGATGAGGCCTGCTTTCTGCCCAGGAGACACATATGAAAATGCCACTGAGACCTAACTGCATGCTGACAGCAAAGCAGGTGAGGCAGAGAGGTCAAACACACTAAGACGGTTTGAATGAAAGGAAAGTATTCCCTTTGCAAACATGGAGATAAAATGGGATCTTTTGTCTTTTTAGGGATTGATTTATTTGAAACACAAAGTTACCAAGACAGGAGCATGGAAGAGAGATTTTCCACCTGCTGCTTTACTTCCCAAATAGCTGCAACAGTTAGGGAAGGGCCAGGCGAAGCCAAGAGCTTCATCAGAGTCTGCTATGTGGGTGCAGGGACCCAAGCGCTTGGGTCATCTTCTGCTGCTTTCTTAGGTACATCAGAAGGGGGCTGGAGGGAAACTGGAACGGCTGGCACAAAAAACTGATTCCCACATGGGATGCTGGCAGCAATGTAGGCAGTGGCTTTAACTGCTATGCCACACTGCCAGCTCCTAAAATGAGATTTCTATGTTGCACTTTTTGGTCAATGAAGCCAATTTTCTGACAACCAGAGAGACTTTCCATTGAGAGAGGGTATGAGATGTAATACTAGTCAGAACCTGTGACAGAATTTAGAAGGTGGGGCCTGGGGTTACTCAATCCCAAGGCCACCCCCCTGTGCCTTCCGTGTGTGTAGGTCTCTCCTTAGAACTGTGCTGGCAACACTTGCTCACCAAGGAACCACCCTGGCATAGCCTGGCACCACCTGGCTTAGTGAGTGAGGGCAGCTGGCTACAAGGCCTAACTGGGTCTTGCATGTTCCCAGTAAGTCTATGTCAGGCGCACACGTGAGGCGTTAGGTATGCTCAAACTGTTGCTATGAAACACTATGCCTCTGGGAGGAAGAAATCCCGAGAGGAATGCTTCCCATGTCTGCACCCCTCCTTCAGGTTCTGAGTCGCCAGTCAGAAAAGCTCAGGCACACCACGCCCCTCCCTCCTCTCCCCCGCCTTCCTCCAAGGCCTGCAGCTCCTTCTGCTCCAGGCCAGGACTCTAATGAGCACAGTCAAGGGAGTGGCCCATTCTCTATTTGGACTTGATCTTGAGAAAAAAAAATTAGGTAATCCCTGGAGAAAATGTATCTTTGGAAACCCAGTGAATGAAAAAATACTTCCTGTTAAGACCCACTAGTGTAGTTATTTGTCATGAAACTGGGACTCTTCTAGAAGTCAAAGGCAGCTCTATTCGTGAAGGTACAGATAGAACCGTGTGGGGCAGAGACACACACGCTTATGCGAGTTAGGAAGGAGATTAGAACAAAAACTCAGGAAGCAGAATCTCAGCTGACGCCAGCTGATACAAAACAGGAACAACAGAAGACCCAACCCAGAGCCCCCGAGATTTGGGAGTTTTGTGACCACAGCAGCCCCTGATGAAGCCCAACTTCTCTGCTAGCCATTCTGTACAGGGGAAGTGACCCGCCCGTGAACAGGGCATGGGGGCCGTGGGGACCACATGCCTCCACACACAAAGCACTCAGAACAGCTCCTGGCACACGGTGACACTCAGCCCCAACTACGCTCTAAATTCTAACACACGAGAATGAAAAAGACTGAACACAGCAAGCTCGGAGTTCAAGCACAGCACAGCATTACTCCAGGAGAGCAAGGCAAAGAAAAGGAGGGATGCCTTCTCTACAGCCTGGATGTCGCCACTCAGAGGATGGGGAAGCAAGCAGCTAGGCATAGGCTGTTCTATGGGATAAGGATGGTGAGTACCAGCTAGGGGTGCTGAGGGAGACCAGGAGACTCGCTGGCATGGTGCTGAATATCACAACATGTGAGGGGCCTTCCTAGAATGCAAAATCAGATTTTAGCAGACAGCTGCTTTCTTTTTTTAAAATTTTCATATGTGTTCCTTTTTTAGCTGTACTCCTCCCTTCTCCAACCTTGAATTGTTTTTTATCTTAAACCTCCCAGGCCCTTGAACCTAATCTCTATTAGATATTTCCCTGATGCCCTACCCCCAGAGACCAGCATCCTCACTGCCTTTCTGCTGCTCTCTACTTCCCTCCATGTCACACATGTGACAAAACTTTAACTTCTGGTTAGACTACTGTAACAATCTACCAGTTTTGCTCCTGAGCCATTGCTGCTGAACAAAATCCTCCGTGTTCCTTGAAAATCATCATCTGGGCAGGCGTGAGAGGGTGCACGGCGGTGTGATGGTTCAGTGGCTGAATCTTCACCTTGCAAGTGCTGGGATGCCATGATCCCACATGGACACAACTTTATATTCCAGCTGCTCCGCTTACCATTCAGTTCCCTGCTTGTGGTCTGGGAAAGCAGTGGAGGATGATCTTTCAAAGTCTTGGGACCCTGCACCTGCATAGGAGACCTGGAAGAAACCCTTGGTTCCTGGCTTTGGATCGGCTCAGCTCAGACCATTGTGGCCATTTGGAGCGTAAAAAAAGTGGATGGAAGATCTTTCTTTCTATATATCCTTCTTTCTGTAAACCTGATCTTCCAGGCCTGGTGCTGTGGCCTAGCAGCTAAACTCCTCGCCTTGAATGCTCCGGGATCTCATATGGTTGCTGGTTCTAATCCCGGCAGCTCCACTTCCCATCTAGCTCCGTGCTTGTGGCCTGGGAAAGCAGTCCAGGATGGCCCAAAGCCTTGGGACCCTGCACCCATGTGGGAGGCCAGGAAGAAGCTCCTGGCTCCTGGCTTCAGATTGGCGCAGCACCAGCCGTTGCCATCACTTAGGGAGTGAATCATCGGACAGAAGATCTTCTCTGTCTCTCCCCAACTCTGCATATCTGACTTTGCAATAAAAATAAATACATCTTTTAAAAAATCTGACCTGCTTTTCCAATAAAAATACATAAATCTTAAAAGAAAAAAGAAAGTCCCTAATGGGCCCTTTCTCAGACACTTTAAAATGTTTCCACCTCTTCAAGCTCCACAACCTACTGCCTTCCTCTTCACTCAAAAGCACAGTAAGGGCCATCAGGTAGTATCTGTGTGTTCATTGTTTCCCATGAAAGCCAGTGTCTTTTCTGCCCTAGAATCCAACCACTCCCAACTTCTCTGTGGTTCCCAGCCCTTGGAACACAAACGTGCTTGCATACAACCTGTTTCCAGAAACCACTCCCTCAACTGTATTCCCTCCTGCCCTCGTGCAAGTAACCCATCCTCTGGGCTCCACTTGCTCATTCCATCCATTCACCAACCCACTGGACTCTTATTTCCTGTCGTTTGACTGTATCTGCTCTGGGAGCGGCCCTTGATAAACTCCCCACAGCTAAAATGAATGGGCACTTATCCCATCTCCAATCGCCTTCCTCCCTACCACATCTGGAGTGGCTCCTACCTCCTCCTGATGCATTTCTCCTGTCTTGGCTTCTAAGATGCTTGTCTCCAGTTTTCCTTCCTCCCAGGCTTTTCCTTCCCAGTCCTTGATCTGAGTTCCTCTTCTATTCTCCTTAAACTCTGATGCTCCACAGGATCTATTCTTAACCCTCCTGTGTCCAGGGCAATGAGTACTGTTTACATGCCAAGAACTCCAAAGGTCAGGTCTCTGGCCAGAGTTTTCCTCCTTACCCAACTAAGTACTCCATGTCTCACCCTAGGGGATCCACTAGCTCCTCAATCCCACGATCTCCATAGTGACACTCATCACTTGCTCCCTGGATCTTATATCTCATCGAGGGTCGTCCAGGTCTCCCAAGGCTTTGGGCCGTTCTCGACTGCTTTCCCAGGCCACATGCAGGGAGCTGGATGGGAAGTGGAGCCACTGGGATTAGAACCAGTGCCCATATGGGATCCCAGCGTATTCAAGGGAAGGGATCCCGGCGCATTCAAGGGAAGGACTTTTATCAGCTAGGTCACCACACCAGGCCCCTTTTAATGATTTTCAACGTCCAAACTAATTATCCAGACCAGAGCCATGAGCAAATTAAAATTTACAAACTAGGGCATTATAATCTCAAATGAGATTGGTAATTAGCACTTGTAGGAATTAATTTTTAATAGTAATTTCAATAACTCCTTGTACATTCAGATTGCTGAAGTGTTTGTTGTTATTTTAAAAGGAAGCCAATATCAACTGCTGCCCACTTTTAATTTGTGGTCATTCTCTCCTCTCTCTAGAGCTTCATATATTAAACTTTATGTCATTACAGTTACTCTTCATTTTGTCATTTGAATTAATTTGAAGATAATATGGATTTTATTGTTGAAAATAACAACTCATTTTGATGCTTTCAGAATAGTTTTAAAATAATTTGCAACTGAGCATTCCATAGGTTAGGCATACTTTAAAAATTGCTTTAAACTATTATGATAACTTTTTTAAAAAAAATGTTGAAATAGTTCAATCATAAGTCCATTAGCTATAGAAATTACTAAAATGTAAAATTAACAAAGATAAGCATTTTTTAAAATTGTTTTTTCAATTACAAGTTGAATCTTTAGAACATTTAACTGTCATCTATCACCATTGTTGTTATATATTCCTTGTAATTAATTGCATTTGTCTCTGGATCAATTGCAGCAGACAACATTTCTTCCATTTCCTCTTGAGAAAAAGGTTCGCCTGGGAAGGACAAGAAGGGAAATTCATCATTGACAATGATCTGATTTTTTTTTCTTTCTCTTTCAACAAACCAGTTTCACTGCCAGGTAGCCTCACAAGCCCCCAGTGTCTCACTAGCTACTCTCTTCACGAGTTACAGAGCAGCATATCATGACAGTCCAGAGGTCCCGGAAGCATGCTACTCTGGCAGACCTGAAATCTACTTTACTCTGCAGGTATCACAGACTAGCAATCTACAGAACATACTACTTCAGCCAAAACAGCAAGCAGACAGCAAGTAAGACAGCAGGCTTACTTGTTTAATTATCTAATTTGAAACTATTGAGACTGCCAAAACATTAACCCAAAGTTCAATCTTCTGGGGCATATAATTATTATTTAGTAAGAGTATGAAGAGATGATTAAATGTTTATAATGCAAAATTGCTGAAAAGGAGACAATAGCAACTGGAAATTAGAGTGATTTCATCTCTAAATGTTTCTAAACTGGGACTGGCCAACTTAGTGAAGTCAGTTAGAGAAGCCACTCATCTACTATTGAAAAACAGCTGGGTCCAGTGTTGGTGTAAAAGCACCCCTAAAGCTGGGCAGAAAACTTTAAACGTTAGGCTTTAATTGGATGCAGGAAACAGTGGAGGACCATCTTACAGACTGGCTTCACCATGATGAGTGGCAAACTCAGGTGAGCTGGCAAGGCTACTGACCACTTAACACAGTATTTTGTCCTAATGCTAAACAAGAACAGATACATCCTCATCACCATCTCATTCCTACAGCGCCTAACCCAAGCTGGCGAGCTATCAGAGCCTTAGGCTTACCTGCTTTACGTGCTTAAGTCACCCACCATTACAAACAATGCTTTCTTAGTTGGGGTTCAATTACTACTAGAGAAATTATTCAAATGGCAGCTTTGATGACAATGAACATATAGCACTGTCAAACAAGAGAAAAGTACAGAGTTGCTCTGAAAGCATGCTTATATCCTAAGAAAGAAAGAACATCTGAAATCCTAAAATGACCAATTTGGTATTCTTGTTATACTTGATTGCTAAATGCTAAACCTACTGCCAAATGAACTTTGATGTATGTCCTTCAAAGAACACAAGTCACAGAGGAGTGGGAGTTTATCCCACACCAAAGTGCCTAGGTTTCATTCCCAGGTCCTGACTCCAGCATTGCAGACCCCAGGATTCAATGGTGAGGGCTAAAGTAATACAGTTCCTGCCACCTACATGGGAGACCCAGACTGAGTTCCCAGCTCCTCTTTGGCTACTGCCAGCTCTAGGAGGGGGAACCACCAGATGGGGGCTCTCTCTCTCTCTCTCTCTCTCTCTCTCTCTCTGTGTTTTTCAAGGGGATGGTGGGGGAAGGGGTTGGGGGAATCCCAGAGCCTATGAAACTGTGCCACATAATACAATGTAATTAATAAAAAAAAAATTTAAAAGATAAGCCACGTTAAAAGAAAAGTCTAATAATGTGCTTGTTTTGGCAGCATATATACTAAAAAACTATAATAGTAACATTCATTGAGTACTACTGCGAGCCAGTCACTGATGTAAGTATCTCACACCTATATTAATAAACTAATCTCCCAATCACCCCATGAGAGGTGTTACTGTCCCCATTTACAAATGACGACACCAGGAGCACACAAACGAATGAGGCAGACTGCCCCAGCAAGTGAGCAGTAGGCCTAGTGTCCAAATGCCAACAATTAAGTTCATTATGTAAGGCGAATGACCTACATACTCTACTACTTAGAACAATGCCTTGTTCCCAGTAAAAATAATGAAAGTAGCCACCTGCTTTCTTGGGAAAGAAAATGGATTTATCATTTTTGATGAAGGATGAAAGGAAAATAGTTTAACGGCTAAAAGCCAGACCTGCCTTAGTTCAAGTGCAGGCTGTCTTTTACTAGCTTTAAGATCTTAGGAAAGTTGCTTAACATCCCTGCTCTAGTTTCCCTGTCCATAAAATGGATGTGATAATACTACCTGACATTGCATAGGGCAGTTATGAGGATTAAATGTTATTACCTGGCACATAAGCGGCAGCATGCTTAGTGTTTGTTTAAAAACTTTTTTGAGATCTTCCCTGCTGCTAAATGCTATCTGATGCAATACACATTCCTGGACACACAGGAACTTCTATCCTGTAGGAACTTGATTTAATGTGATTTACCATGTCTATATATGACTTCTTGGGCATTTAGCCTACATATTAAACTGATTAATGTGATTGATGCTGTATCAGTATTATGAAAAGACTGTGCGAGTAAACTTAATATGTTATTTTTATAAAGCACAGATGTACTTAAAAACAATTTCTGGAATGTTGAGACTCTCAAAGCACCACAATTTTTTTTACTAGACTAGCCAATTGCTATTACCCTTGGCTGACTGTACTGCTAACATACAATAACATCCTAGATTTGTATAGTACTTCTACATCTTACCACCAAACATTAACTCAATAAGGTGGAAGATATTTAGTAATATTTGTTGAAAATTTATGGGCATGTATATTCTTATCTGAAAATAATTGTTCTCTACTTTCCCCACTGAGTTACTCAATGGTTGACTGTTTTCTTAAAAAAGATTTATTTATTTTTATTGGTAAAGCAAATTTACTGAGAGAAGGGGAGGTACAAAGACCCTCTAAATGGTAAAAATGACCGGAGCTGAACCAGTCCAAAACTAGGAGCCAGGAGCTTCATCTGTGTCTCCCATATAGGTGCAGGGTCCCAAGGCTTTAGGTCATCCTCCATTGCTTTTCCAGACCACAGGTAAGGAGCTGGATGGGAAGTGGAGCAACTGGGACATGAACCAGCACCCATATGGATACAAACCAACATCTATATGGGATACTTACAGGTAGAAGATTAGCTGATTGAGCCATCGTGCCGGCCCCTCAATTATTGACTTTTAAGTATTATTAACTCACTGTAGATACAGCTTTTCAGGAATTATCACATAGCACCTCTAACTAAACCACACATTTAGTCTATTCCTGTTTTCCCTGTTTACATTGGTAGCACTGTGAATGCACCCACCATCAGTTACCATCAGTTATTAGATCTTGTCATGAGCTTTGACTCAGCTCTCACCTCTGTCTCCTGCTCTGCTACTCAGTGATGCCCTGGATCCCACCATAGGCTACATTACAGCATCAATCCCCTCTTTCTAAGGTCATTGTCAGGTAAGGCCTTAACTTAGAGTACATTCAAAATGCTGAAAAAGTCTACTAATTGATCTCCCTACATAACACCTTTTTCACTTACCTAACAAACCTTCCAACACCAGAGTAGCGTCGCCACAATCACTCTTACACTAAGTGGTTTGCCTGCTCAAAATCTCACAATATATCTCCATTGCACACAGGGCAAGTTCCAAATTCCTGAGTTCAGGTTTCTGTACTTTGGTTCCAATAAACCAACCTAAAGTAACTTCCTACTAATTGCTAACAGAATAGCCAAGCCTGTCCTCTCAGTGGCTTGTGAAATACCACATTCATTCCAGCCTTCTAGTTTTGCTCATGCTGTTTTATCCATCTATAACATCTCTCTTTTACCAGCCCCCTGACTCATTCATTCATTCATCAAACATTTATTGAGTCTACCGTGTATGAGGGTACTATAAAACCTAAGACTACTTCCGCCCCCAACAACTCATATAAATTCCACTTTCCCAAAGAACCTATTTCCCTAAGTCTTCAAAGTTCAAGTAACCTGAAGTAGCCTACATTTATCTTTTGATATTTTTCAGCTGTCTTGTACTATGATTTGTTTTATAAATTAATTTCATTTTTCCAATAGATGACAGTACTCAAGAGGGAACATATTGCAGTACCATTATACCTTATCACATTTATTAAATACTAAACATACAATAGGTACAACATTAATTAAATTGAACTGTTTTGATTAATTCAACTAAATTTACATTACCTAATATAATCTAGGATTTCCTTTTCATGTAAAACTTAAGATTAGAAAAGAACTAACTGGACAACTACCCCAAACAAACAATAGCAGCAAAAAATTTCGGTGAATGAAACCAACGGACATTGGGAGGGCGACATCGTCCTCAGATCAGTGAAATCCACAGCATTTCAGAACTGTCCAAACCACTTGGACAGAGCCCTCGGGATATGTACACATGGAGACTCTGGGTTGATGTGAGGTGGCGGGTCCTCATTCTTGGGTACTGAGGCATGTAGAAAGTCGTGAGTGGTATTCCCCTTTGCCTACCCTCTTCCCTCAGAAACAAGATAGCAAATTTTGAAGCAATGAGTATACCCAATTTTTCCCTAAACTTTGATGCTGCCCACCTCAAACCACCATGTAATCATTATAAAGAATAAAATTTATTAAAAAACAAACACAAAAGCAAAAAAAAAAAAGAGGCTGATGCTTAAGAACTCAAAACATTCTCATTAAAACTAATCTCTGAGCCTGGCAGGGTAGCCTAGTGGCTAAAGTCCTTGCCTTGCATATGCTGGGATCCCATAAGGGTTCTGGTTCTAATCCTAGCAGCCCCGCTTCCCATCCAGCTCCCTGCTTGTGGTCTGGGAAAGCAGTCGAGGATGGTCTTGGTGTCCTGCACCTGTGTGGGAGACCTGGAGGAAGTTCCTGGCTCCTAGCTTCAGATTGGTGCAGCACCGGCACAACAGCAGTCACTTGGGGAGTGAGTCATCGGATGGAAGATCTTTCTCTGTCTCTCCTCCTCTCTGGATATCTGACTTTGCAGTAAAAACAAATAAATCTTTTTTAAAAAACTCTAATCCCTAATATGAAACAATGCTACACAAATTCCCAGATGCAAGCTGACTGTCCCATCATGCTCACTCCCTGTATCTCTATCTAATGCCCGATCAGGTCACAATGGTCCAATCCTTTGTGCATGTAGACACAGTCTTACTTTTCCCTTACTCAAAACACTTGAACACACGTTTTTGGGGGCTGTGCCAAGCGATTCTGACTCCAAATCACTCAGGACTCAGTGTGTGAGCCACTGAAAGGAACAAGGGACACAGGGCTCTCTCTCTGTCTGGGAGAGGAGGAGGTAGTCAGTGTGAGAGGCACACTGTCACGAGACTGCCCATTAGGCTGCTGACATTCAGAGGAACACATGAGTTCCTAAGGAACCATGTCGGCACTGACAAGTGTGCAGGCATTACACACACATGCCCGTGGGGGAGGATGTGTATGGCTCATGCTCTATCAGCATCCAAGCTGAAACTTGTTGTTGGTATTCTTATTTCGTTGAGGTTGTATTATTTGTAGCTTTGCCAACTGAAAATCTTTTAAAAAAAAAAAAGAATTCTTCTGTTCATTGGTTTGAATATTCATCTGTAAGGGGCACTGATTTACAGTAAGTGATAGTTCATGTTCCTGAGGTGGCATGCCTTTTATCCTATAAATACTCTGAGTACAACAACTGCAAATTATGGAAAACACCATGATCCCTGTTAGGTCCTATGAGACAATGATCCACCTGCTTTCAAACTATCTTTTTTCCTCTTACTCCCACAAGACAGAAACCACCCCCAAAACCAAACTAAGAGAAGGGAAAAATTATTGTAATCAAACAATTCAAAGAACCTACTCTAACTTTTGAATAACTGTTGTTAAAAAGTATGAATCCCCTACCCAGCCACTGTTCTAAGCAGTGCATCAGTCTTACCTTCCTCAGTCATATACCTGATCAGTTCCTCCTTAGTAAGAAACCCATGTTTCGCTTGATCTAAAACCTATGGGAAAGCAAAAGACAGATTTAGATTTTTTGCTTGAAAAATAAATTCTACATGATAAATGCTTCATATGCATGATTAAATTTGGACCTTACATACCTCAAAAGCTCGAAGGAGGACATCTTCTGGAATTGGTCTGTATCTATATTCATAACAACAAAAAAAAAGCAAAAAAACGCCACTATTAATACAGTCCTACAAAAACAAATGCTATCAACATGCTGAGCTAATAATACTTCCCTCACTGAAATCCTGTTTTGATTCCTGTCTAGGAAAGCTGGGCAGCACCTTAACCCTACAGAAAACACCTGTTAAAAATCACTGATATCCGGGCCCGGCATGGTGGCGCAAGTGGTTAAGTCCTCGCCTAGCACGCCCGGGATCCCATATGGGCGCCGGTTCTAATCCCGGCAGCCCCGCTTCCCTTCCAGCTCCCTGCCTGTGGCCTGGGAAAGCAGTCGAGGATGGCCCAAAGCTTTGGGAACCTGCACCCACGTGGGAGACCCGGAAGAGGCTCCTGGCTTCGGATCGGCATAGTATCGGCCCGTTGCGCTCACTTGGGGAGTGAATCATCGGACGGAAGATCTTCCTCTCTGTCTCTCCTCTCTGTATATCCGCCTTTCCAATGAAAAAATAATAAAAAAAATAAATCTAAAGAAAAAAAAAAATCACTGATATCTTAGATGCTATCTCTTAGTTTTTTTAATCATTATGGATATATTGATTTATCTAGAGGCAAATCCTGTACAATCTACCAATTTGGATAATTAGCATTTTTTGGCTAGAAGATAATTAGGATTGATTCTTATTTATCAGTAATAATTCAAAACAGAAGAATGTTTTGATGTATGATTTTGTAGCCTATTGGTATTTAATTATGGTTTGCTTAAGTTACACTGCTGTGTTTGGCATTTCTCAACACATACCAACCTGGAGTTCAGTAGCCTACTGGAAGGGTAGAAAGAAGCTACTCTAACATGCACTGGTTGAGTAAAACACACAAAGTAGAATGGGAAAATCTTTTGAAATGAATGTAATTCTAATCATTACTTTTTCCTAACACTTACTTACTTACCTTTTTTCCAATAATACTTTGGTCATCACTGGAAGAAATTTTTCATATCGAATGTATCCAGTAGGTTCTTCTTCCTCTACCTAAACATTTAAGAAATAACCATTTACTGTGGTGCTCTCCTGGGCTGGGCCTAAGCCACTTACAGACGAGGGACAACCGTTCATGGCGAATGCTGCCGAGCTTCTCGTTCTGTCTTGCGGGCTCCTGGTTCCTTTCCCCTGCCTTGGTGTGGTGGGAGAGGCCAGGGGTAGGGAAGCCGGCTCGATCTCCGCTCTCTCTGCCTCGTGCCGCTTGAAGAAATAACCATTTATTCACTAAACAATGGATGAAGCAACTGCTCCCCCCAAGAGCAGTGCTAAGTGCTGGATATTTGATGCTGAGCACACTGGCCTGGATCCCTGCTCATAGAATATATCCTGGTAGAGGAAACATCAAATCAAAACCCCCACAAACACATATATTTATTTATAAACTTAAACAAGTATAAGGAAGGGCCCAGCGCAATGGTGTAGTGGTTAAAGTCCTTGCCTTGCACACGCCAGGATCTCATATGGACACCGGTTCTAACCCTGGCAGCCCCATTTCCATCCAACTCCCTGCCTGTGGCCTGGGAAGGCAGCTGAAGATGGCCCAATGCCTTGGGACAATGCACCCATGTGGGAGACCCGGAAAAGCTCCTGGCTCCTAGCTTTGGATTGGCTCAGCTCCAGCCGTTGCGGCCACTTGGGGAGTGAATCATCGGACGGAAGATCTTCCTCTCTGTCTCTCCTCCTCTCTGTAAATCTGCCTTTTCAATAAAAATAAATAATTTTTTAAAAAATAAGTGCAATGAAGTAACAGATTATGGACACAAGAGGAGCACATAAAAAGGAAACGTTAGATCAGCAATCAGGAAGTCATGCATGAAGAATTAACATCTGGCTTATGAAGAATGAATAGAAAGTAATGCATCAAAAATGGTTTTAATGGTTGAATAGAGGGTAACAAGACAAAGACAGTGGGAAAGAGATCCCCACACAGAAGCAACCACATGCTCTGAGCTTCATGGTGACAGATTGGAGGCAAAGGCAGCTCAGGGAGCCGTGAGGACAGTGTTTCAAATTGAGGCTGACCAGAGAGAGGAGGAGGTAGGCCTTGTATAACCTTATCACCCGGGACAGCGACTTTGGTTGTCATCCCAACAACAATGGGAAATCACTGAGGGTCTCACAGATGCATATTCTGAGTGATGACACTGGTTGCAGGCCAAGTGGCTTTTTCAGCAGGAGAAACAGATATGATGAGGTCTTGAATTGAACTGATGACCATAAAGAAAAAAAATGGATAGTTTCAAGAAACATTTAGAGAGTAAGTAGCATTTGATGAGACCTAATTGATGGTACCCAGGGCTGTATCCCCAATGAGTATACAGGAAAAAGCGGAGTCAAGGATGATTCCCAGAACCTAGTATAAGTACTGACTTGAACAGGTACAGGCAGAAAAGGCACATTTGGGGGCCGATCACTATCTCAGGGCTCAAACTACATGGCATGACAAATGCAACTCTGTTACACCATCACTGAGTTATAAGACCACTATACCCAAAAATGAGAATGTTTGGTCCCTACCACTATTAAATGAGAATAAAATGGATCCCTGCTCATGAGTTTCACTTTAATAGAACGGCTGAGAAAAATACCATTAGCCTTAACTTCTGAGTTGGGTTGTTTATGAAGGGTTGTAAATTTTATAGTCCCTGTCAACAATCCTAAAGCTCATAGATCCCAACTCAACAGATGTGCTTTTAACAGATTTACTCCACACACACACACACACACACACACACACACACACACACAAAGAGGAGGAGGCGAGGCGCTATGAGTTGATGCTGTCTTTGAGGTGACCACTGCTTCTTACGTTACAGTAGTTACACCTGGTGTGTGCAGAGCCTGGCTAATCCAATAATGACAGGATGATACGCTCCTGAATTTCAGAGCCCATCAATACAAAAACAATGGTCCAAGGCAAACCTGCTGCAAATTAGCATTTGCACAGGCTCTATATGCTGGGAGCACTCTGCAGTCCCCCACTCCAGGTGCCTCTTAAAATGTCAATGTCATGCGATTGCCTACAGAGCAGTAATCTCAAAATGATGAGTTTCTGTTCAAACTCCTTCAGAAGCCAGAGCACCAGCCTGCTTTGTGGCTGCAAAAGCTGTCTGAAGCTGAGCACCTGTGCTAACCCACAAACTGCTGCAGTTTTGACAAAGGAAGTCCACCTCTGTAATTCGAACGCACAAATGATCACTACGGCATAGAAATGCTTCATGGTGCTGCCCCGCGCCCCGCACAACTGGGGCAAGGCCTCAGCGGGAGGAGCTCCGGGGTGAAAATGCTGCAGATCGCTCTTCGGCATTTTTGTAGAGCCACAACTACTCACAAATGACAGTTAAAACAAGATCTCCAACCAATCAGGGTGGCAGAAAAGACATAAATTTCCTTTGACTTTTTTTCTTTAAAGAAGAATAATGGAAAAACAGTAGTCTTGTGGTTTAAAACAAAAACAAAAGTCCATCTTCAACTAGGGCAGACATCATACAACTCTTTCTATGACCCGACACTGTCCTCTAGAGGCCAGATTGAATGTTTGCTTGTGTTCAAGAGATCTAAGCAACAGCAGTAAAAATAATGTTATTCTAAATATAATATTCAGGAAACGTCTTATACCAGATACTATTTCATATTATGAAAGTTTTTTCATATTTAAATAACTTCTTTACTTTAGAACAGTTTTTTGATTCACAAAAAGATGCAGATCATACAGTTACCTCCAATTTCCTCTATTTTTTTTTTTAACTTTCCCTAGGTTTATTGAGGTAAGATTGACAAAGAAAATTACATAGATTTAAGGTATACAGGCAATGTTTTAATGTACATATCCATTGTGACATGATTATCACACTCAGGCTAGAGAGCAAGTAGATTTCCTCTCTACCTTTTTTAAAAAGATGCCGATGTCTTATTTAAAAGACAAAACATCGGAGACAAAAGGAGGAAAAGAAAGAGGGAAAGAGGGAGAAGGGAGGGCCATTTTGCAGCCACTGGTTTATTCTCCAGATGGCTGCAAACATCTGGTTGGGCCAGGCTGAAACGAGAAGCCCAGCTCCATTTAGGTATCCCACATAAGTGACAGGTGCCCAGCACTTGGGTCATCTTCCCATCGTGCCTTCCATGTACATGAACTGGAAGCAGAGCAGAGAGGATTCAAACTGGCCCTGTGATATTGGAATGGAGGTGATACAATGCCATGTACCAGCCTCTCTAGCTATCTATTTAGTGTGTGTGGTAAAAACACTTCAGAATGTTTCTCTTAGCAAAATTTCACATTTATAATTCATTGTTGCATCAGGATTTTTTAAGTTACTATTTGGTTCAGAATTTTGAGGACTGAGTCAAAGGGGTTGGTGCAGGTTCTGGTGAAGATCCAGGAGCACGGCAGAAGGAGGATCACACAGCCAGTCAGGAAGCTTAGTGGAGGCTGGGGCCAAAGTCAGGCCATTGTAACCCTCTCGCAGGAACTACCATCCAAGGGCACGCCCCATGTCCCAAGCTTTACCCACCTGAATAGCAGTACCTTAGCAACCAACACTGTGACACATGGGACTCTGGGTGCCACTCAGTAAGAAAGCAGATATTCAAACAATATTATCATTATTAAACATAATTTCCATGCTGGACCCGGCATGGTGGCCTAGCAGCTAAAGTTCTGACCCTGAACACGCTGAGATTCCATATGGACGCTGGTTCTAATCCCGTCAGCTCCACTTCCCATTCAGCTCCCTGCTTGTGGCCTGGGAGTACAGTCGAGGACGGCCCAAAGCCTTGGGACCCTGCACCCGCCTGGGAGATCTGGAGGAGGTTCTTGGCTCCTGGGTTTGGATTGGCATAGCACCACAGCACCAGCCCTTGCAGTCACTTGATGAGTGAATCATCGGACAGAAGTTCTTCCTCTCTGTCTCTCCTCCTGTATATATATCTGACTCCCGCCCCGCCCCCCCGCCAAAAAAAGTAAATTTTTTAAAAAAAATTTCTATGCTGCCCATGAGGTCTCATAACTAGAAGTTTGTACCATAATAGCATCTCCCCAATTTCCTTACCCCTGTCATTGCTAACTACCCTTCTACTCCCTGTTTCTATGGGGTAGATACTATACTTTTGGATTTCATACAATAGGGAATTCATATAGTTTTTTTTTCAAAGATTTATTTTTATTATTTTTCTATTGGAAAGGCGGATATACAGAGAGGAGATACAGAGAGGAAGATCTTCCATCCGATGATTCACTCCCCAAGTGAGCGCAGTGGGCCGATACTATGCCGATCCAAAGCCAGGAGCCTCTTCTGGGTCTCCCACGCGGGTGCAGGGCCCCAAAGCTTTGGGTCGTCCTCGACTGCTTTCCCAGGCCACAGGCAGGGAGCTGGAAGGGAAGCGGGGCTGCCAGGATTAGAACTGGCGCCCATATGGGATCCCGGGCGTGCAAGGCGAGGACCTTTAACCACTTGCGCCACCGCGCCGGGCCCGAATTCATATAGTTTTAATTTTTCTGTCAGGTTCACTTCACTTAACATAATGCCATTCAGGTTGATCCAGGTTGATCCCCAAATGGCAAGATGTTCCTTCTTTTTTAATGTGTGTGTCTGTACGAAAGGCAGAGAGAAAAGATCTTTCACCTACTGTTTCACTCTCCAAATGTCCACAACATCCAGAGTGAGGCCAGGCCCAAGCCAGAGGTCTAGAATCATTCTGAGTCTCCAATGTGAGTGTCCTTGGATCATTATCTGCTCCCTCCTGAAGCACACATGATCAGAAATCTGGAAACACAGTGTCTGAACCTTCACTCCAGTATACGATGCTGGCTTTCCCAGTAGTGACTTCACCACTGTGCCAAATGCTACATTCTTTTTGAAGGCTGCATGATATCCCATTGTGTGAATATGCCTTTTTATTCATTCACCTGCCAACAGACATTTTTTTTCGTGTCTTGGTAAATGAATAATGCAAAGAATGTGGCAATGCAGATAATTCTGAGAGATCAATTT